CAAAGGAAAAGAAGACACAAGTGACGATGGAAATGGCTTTATTGCGCCAGGATGACGTTGCACAGGACATGGCTTCGGCCACTCACGATCTGTCTGATGTAAGAAGGAAGTGTCTAAGCCCTCAAAACACACGAATCCGGATACGGCGAAACAGAATACTTCATTTTTGCGTCAACATAGATTCGGAGTGGTGTATCCGGTTTCACGCATTCACACGAATACGCTACTGCAGTTTGTAATTGCAACTGCACTCGGGCCAGCGTTATGATCTCACTGGCCGTATATCCTTCCCACTTCCAGTGCTTTAGGGTAACATTTCATACACTTCTCAAGTAGGAATGTCAAAGAGAAATAACTAGGTAAAGGCCGATTCATTTGCCTGGAGCGAAAGTAAACAGAGGGTTGTTGGCCTCTACTTTAAATTTTTCAAGTTCCCATTTAAGCCTGGACCCGAGTATTTAAAAATATCCGGTTTCGGTCGTCTTTGCGAACTGGCCAAACCCGACGAATTAATTAAAAATTCCACTCTGAAGACGGGTTTCAATGCGGTCTCGGGGAGCGGATTTACCGTTTTGGTGTAGATGGAAGGCCGATTCGTATTAAAAAGCGTGCGGTTTCAAAAATATCCGGATTCGTGTGGACGGGGCCTGAACCTTATACGCTTCCTTTTCTCACGTAACGAAGGGTGTAATGTAATACTGTTCTTCTTTACGTTCGTTGAGTAACGTTAAACGTGACCTTTAGGTGGAAAGAGAGCGCGTTACAAGCGACCGTGACATAAGAAGTGGAACATTTTGGTTTGCGAACGTTTTTTAGTATGCGTAACATTTTATGAAGGCTTGTATGTGGTTCTAGCGTATCGCAATTTGGGGTCACAAATAAAAATATCACCTCAGTAGTCTGTCTAACCTTGACTCCATGTTTCCATTATTGAGTTATAGGCGAGATTGCGTCACACATTTGAATATTGCTGGTTTACACATTACGTCATCAAAAACTCAAAGGAAAGAATTATCGATCCTCCTGAGTTCTTACTTTCGGGAATTATTAGAGCCGCTAAAAACTAATATTCAGAAAAATTTTCACTGCGAAAAAGTTCTTCGGTTTGTGATACAGTACGCTGAAATTTCTAAGCTTTTGCGTGACGCGGCATTTACATGGTAGCCTGCGAGCAAGCTCTCCGGGCGCGCTGGGGGCGAGGCAGGAAAAGAAAGGAGAGCTTGCAACTACCTCTCTGGAATTTGAATTCTACCTCCAATTCGCCTGTGGCTCCCCGTCGACTGAGCTGTCAGATTTTCGCCAATCAGCGCGAAGCGGAAACGAGCGCGATTGTAAACAAACATTGAAAAACACGTGCCAAGGGTAATGGCGTCATTACTAATGTCATCTCCGCCAATCAGCATTTTGCTCGACTTATTCATTTTCCAGGGACGTAGCTGTAAGCTCTCCCTCCTTTTCCCGCCCAGCCGCCAGAACGCCCCAGAGGGCTTGCTCGTAGGCTATTTACATGGCGGACGAGAGAGCTGCCATGAAGGCTGAAAAATTGACTCTGTTGGGGGGATTTTGCTATCTGAATGGTCATTGTATTAATTTCAATGTTAATGAGTTCCTCAAGAGATGAATTCACCCTTAAGTAGCACAACTCCGTGACACATGTTTCTGTTGGTTTCCGGCCGCCATGTTAGTGACCATCCGGATGGGCACCAACAATGCCTTTCCATACAAAGCTCTATAAATGTAGGTAAAAAAATTCTCCGAATTTCTCGCGCATGAAAAACTGCACCGACCTGAATCTTGGCGAGGGCCTTTGTATATTTACCTTCTTTCATTTCCCAGATTCTAGACTTTATCTATTACACGGGTTTGATTTTTATTTTTAATAGCGTGACAGGGAAAACCTGCAATAGCGTTACATTTTTTCTACATGTAAATGTCATTGCCATTTTCTTTAATCATTTAGCAAAGTTTGGCTGATGAGTATGAAGTTAAGGAGGATCAACATTCTATACACCAAGACCAAGAAGACATTGCAGTGTCTCCGCAACAAAGCAACAAAGATGCCGTTCTTGAAGTGATTCCATCGACTTCCACCAAAGTAGATGTAAGACGAGAACAAAAACACTATAATAATTACTTATTCACTAATAAAGAAGAATTTGCCTCTAGGGCGCCTTATTTTGTTTACGTTTCACGTTAGAAGGACACAACATGATCTTGGTTTCCCTTTGCCACTAATGTGTTTCGTCGATGGTGTACCTTTTCTGCGCTGTCTTGGATTTACGTTTCAGCGTCTTGTTTTCCTTCTCTTTACCTGTTTTCAGTTGCGAGCTAGTGACTTCCAGAACGATGGCTGATATAAGGAATCGTCTAGTAAAATGGTGTCTTTGTTGTTTTTAATCAGTACCACTTGTATCAGCAGGTGGCCGAGGCTTTCTGGGTAAACATTAAACTGTGGGCGTGGATTTTCATCCTAGACTTGAAAACAGTACCCTGGACCCGAAGTAAATTTTATCTAGCTCTTGACTGGTCACTTTGAAGTTACTTTTAATAGATAATACTTATATATTCTGCGGCTCTTGTCTGGCTCAAGCAAATTATGTTATTTTTATCTGTTTATCCGTTAGTTACTTATTTACTAACAAGGAAAGTAATTACTTGAAAGCTGTGCTGTTTCAAGCTTAACCAAAAATTTGATAGTTTTTTATCAATTTAACTAGGATGAGGAATTCAAAGTGACTGACAAAGAACTTCTAACCAGGCCAACGGCATCACTAGGAAAAACTCAAGCTTCTGCAATACCACTTTCAATTGAAAACCTAGAGGAGTCAGACGAGGATCCTTGTGACGTAGGAGAGAACTTTTCTACCAAACAACTGTTTTCATTTGCCTGGCAAATAGCTAAAGGAATGGTAATTATCTTGTTTTCTGGATAATGTTGCTGGGATTCTGATACTGAGTATAACTTGGAAAGAAGAATTCAAAAGTCAATATTTTATAAACATGAAATAGATGGGATAAATATATTGGCAGTTTTTTAGATATGAGTATATTAAAATGGCTTATATGGAAAAAAACTTTTTTTCGGTCGACCCAGTTTTAGCTAAATTCGTTTCGTTATGCATCTGAACGTAAATATTTGGATCAGATCAGTGCCAATATTTACTTTTCATTTGTATTTTTTCATCTATACTCAACTACTTAGTGTTCGGCGTACCCCCGTTATTATGTTTTGAGATCATTTTAATCGTTTTTTCGTTGCTTATTTGTTATTAGAATCATCTCGCCGAAAACAATCTTGTTCACAGAGACCTTGCTGCCCGTAATGTCCTTGTTGGCCATGACAATCAGATTAAAGTGTCAGACTTTGGGTTGATGAGACAAATCTATGAAGATGTGAGCAGCTCAGCGAAGTCCAGAAAACTTCCTGTAAAGTGGATGGCCCCAGAATCACTTTATCAAGGGGTTTACACGACCAAAAGTGATGTGTGAGTGATGAGTTTTCCGGCTCCCTTGACAAGGGAACTATTGAAACTTTTCTACTGAATCACTCCTCAAAATTGTAGTTGCCGTCATTACAGAAGCATATAACTCTGAAGTTCCTAAATCCCCTTATTTTTAATAACCATCCTAGGGTTTTTAGCCGTCCAATTAGAAGCACGGAAAATTGTTTGCCCAAATATGGAATCATAGTATTGTAGGTACCTCTGTCTAAATTTCAGGGCGGAAAAACGTTCTGCGCAAGCTTCTGCGCATCCCTAATCGCAGGCTCAAGGCGAGCATTTCTGTGTGTTGACTGTGTTCGACAGTTTGTTTGTTTGTCACTGAGAGAGTTCTGACTAAGACTGAATGAAATGCACAAGGTGTGAACGTTTGCTTCTCGAAAAGTCTTATTACTTTTGTGTGGTTTTTGTTTTTCGTCACTTGAAAATTACTTTGGACTCGGAACAACCAATGTTAAAGGAAAAACGGATCATCCCGTCAGTCTGAGGTGGAATACAGAATTTTGAACTTTTCCAAAGAGGCGAGTATTTTTCTGATTGTTCATTCGATTTATTGTGAGTTGATTCTGACTTCTTTCGCGGGCTGAACTAAAACCCGCTTTTTTTAGTTAGTAAATAATTTTTCACATGCCCAGANAGTGCGGGCAAGGGGTGGGGATTTGACAAATTTTAAAATTTTTCGATCAAATTCCCCAGGGTGGGAAACGAAAGGTCAATCAAAAGTGTCAAAAAAGCCCCCACCCCAGGGGAAAAAATCTAAACAAACAATGCTATAATACTATGTAAAACGAATAAAAGAACATCTCAAACACGTTGTTACTACTTTTATTTACGGTTAACGGAAGCTCCATTAAATCACTCGCTGTAATTAAGTATTTTCTCTCTCCACTAGCATCTCTTATCTTGAACAACAAAATCACTCCAGGAAGATTGACCGTGCTATATAATATTAATAAAACGTGAAATGCTTTAAAACATCTGCTCAACATGTCGGAACAGGTCGGATCAGTGACCTATAAAAAATCCTCTGACTTTCATGGTGGGATTCGATTTCAATCGAGTTTTACAATCAGATGGGAACTTGAAGATAAAAACTTCCTCAAAATAGACATTATCTGTTTAGATGACAGTTTAAAGTATCGGATTATGGCGATTAAAACAAATGAAAACTTCATACCTTTCTCCAACAACGTGACTTTCAGGAAGCCTCGAGGGACGGACTTGGTAACTGCTTCTGAATTGATACCAGGCTTCTGTCGGTCAAAGTTAAATGTCCCGACCCCGGGGTCGCTTCACACGATGAAAAGCCCGACAGCGGGATAGTCCCAGGCATCAAATCCCCTCCCCTTGCCCGCACTCCCCCCCACGGGATTTACATTGATAGGTGCATTACTCGAGAAGAAAAGACTACTCATTTTTTCTGTTGCTCAAGTACTAGCAGTTAGAGTTTTCTTCACTTTTAATTACATAGTTTTGTTTTCCACTGCACTGTGAAAGTTTCAGTTCTTCATAAGGAAATAACTTTCTGTACGCAAATTTTCCTTTTCACTCGCTGTGAAGTAGAGGACAACTGTCGGCAGTGACTTCAAAACAATTGACTCTGCCCGTAACACTGAATTGCTGGAGCTGGATTTGTCTGTGGCGAACAAAACAAATACCCTTATGTGCAATTTTCTGAATTTTGTAACGATTGGCTGATTTTAATTTGCTTGAATGAAGACCCTCACATGGAACAGTTATTCACTGAGTTATTAAAGCGAGGAAAATAGCTACATGGTGAATCATGGTTTAGCTGCGAAGCTCACTGCAACCGATCTTTTGCGTTTAAGATCTTTAAGGTAGGTTGTTTTCGTACAAAAAATTCATTTCTTTATTGTCAGCAACAAGTTTTTATTGCAATAATGTAATTTTAACTTTGTTTGAAGGAAATCCTACTTACGTGTAGGTTTTTGACAAATATTATGCAAGTTGAACTTGACAACACAAAGCATAATTTACATTTATCTCTTAGTACGCGAAACGATCAAGTTTAAAAATAAACTATAGTTGCTTTGAAACCGATTTTGGGAAGATTTTACTAGATAAAGATTGACTCTTTTCCTGCCCACATGTCGACGCCAAAACTTGACATAGAGGATTTTGTTTTAAAATATTTCAGTGATCTACAAAGCTACAAGTGTCCGATCGAGCGTTGGTTTAAAATATCAGCTTGAATGCGACAAAGTTCAGCGACTTCAAACACATTGTGGGCGTGCGTTATTTTTTTTTGGGCAAATCACTGTTCAAAGATATTTTGTTTTTGTGTCCACAGTGGGGCTCGTTACCTTATATATCCAGGAGCTTCCTTATATGAACACATTTTGTGAATGCATCTTGAAAAAAAGCGGACCTACGCATGCACATTTCCAGTACAACGCAAGGAAATTAACGTCGTTAAAGTACGTTTTACCATGAGGTATTCTTTGAGAAAATTAAGTCATGAAAAGGTTATAACCACAGCTTGCAACTTTTGAAGACAAATTGCTTGGTCTTTTCTGGTTAAGAGTGGAAACATTTTATTATTAGGCAAAAAAATTTGAAATCCCGCCAATACGTTTTTCCGCCCTGAATGTCTAAATATATTGCTGCTAAAAACGGATCCTTACAGTCCTTAACAGTTTTCCAATTACATTCAAAACTCAAGGGTACACGAATTTTTGGGCTTCTCCGTGGACAGTAAACCATCTATAAATGCCGTGAATCTGTACATATTTATAACCTCTTTGGTTTTTCTCATAGTTGGTCTTTTGGTGTTGTTCTTTGGGAATTGGCTACCTTGGGTGAGTGGACAGTAATTTTGTAGTTTATAGTTGTCATGTTAAATTTGAGGTGACTGACAAATCAAAAAAACATTTTTCATGGTCTATGACTCTTATCGACCGTCGAAATGATGTCGAGATGTTGAAAACTCATGCACGACCCGCAGGATAATTGTTTCATTTCAAAGTTTTCAGCCTTCCAAGGGAATCAAGGCGACAGTGCCTGAACCCACCTTCCCCCTTTTCCCATGGTGTGATGTGGCTTAACTGTTACGATTGTTGTCAAGGTTACTGCCACCAAGAAGCATCGCGCAGAATGAGTGGACATCATTAGCAATTAATGACTGCCGAAGCGGCAAATTCGAACGCACGAGCGCTTTCAATAAGCTCTGAATAAGAGAAGAAAGGGCCTCTTTTGGCCCACCAGCGTTGATAAAACTCATTCGCGCGACTTCGTTAGCTACAAAATGCCAAATCCACTGACAGAATATTCAAAATGAATGATATATCTACGATTTAAGCACAAACCTTTGAACGAAATTCCCGCAAAATAAAGCAAAGTGTATGTATTCTCATGATTTAAACGTTCACTGTGAGATATGCGCATAGTCGCGATTTTGCGAAACGAAAGAGCTAAAAGGAGAAAACAATAGCGTGCTGCATTCAGTGTTTAGTTTGCCACCTACAACATATTGGTCAGCTTCGTCGTGCATTCTTGGCAACCAATGGCTGAAGCGCTTTCATAGAGTCTCTGCATGATTGCACGTAATATGACAGATCTACCAACTTTGTTGAACTGGAAGTAAATGTCCCGAGAACAACAGGCATTCTGCGCGATGGGGCGAAAACAATGTTTTATAATGTTTCATTTGCGGCAAGTTTGAATTTTCTTGTTTGATCTGGGCTCTGTTTTAATTGATTAAGTGCTGTGAGACAAGCACATCTCCTAGATGATAACCGTATGTGACAATACATATTTTAATATGTCAAATTTAAAAATTTGCGAGCATTTGATGACTGGAAACGTGAAACCTTAATGTTAATCACCCTGCCTTCTTTCATGACACATTTAACTGCATTGGCTATATATAAGACCTCCATTCAATCAACCATTTTTGCAAAATGACCTTATTGAGCTTATATGAGGAGAAGTGACAATCGACTAAGGCATCTTCAATAAAAATCTATCTAATGGAAAATTGCATGTATTCAGTTGCTGATATGTAATCATTTGTTTTCTTTCTCGCAATCGTCAGGAGGCGTACCATACCCCACGCTGACCAACTTGGGTTGTATCGACTGCTCGGTACTGGTTATCGCATGGAAAGGCCTGACATGTGCTCCGATGACGTGTACGTTTCTTGATTAGAGTTGTCTTAGATTTAACAAACACATTCGATTTTTCTGTGCCTCTGCTCAGTTACATTTCATACCGCACGGTGCAGCATACGAATTCGTCAAATATTTTAACGCCTTCGTTGATCATATTAAATACTGACCAGACTGACGGAAGTGGGAAACTTTTGATTGGATCCTCACTCTTTAAACAAGAAAACCCTCCATTAGCTTATGGTCAAATTAGTAGTGATTAGGTTAATCTCTTTCCTGGGGCCGGGGAGAGTACTCCCTGTACTGGGGAGGCACCCCCCAAAAGGAGCTAAAAGGGGTACCTCTCACAGTCTTCTGGTATAGGAGGTCAAGTTAAAGTTCTTTTCTGTCAAAAATGATACTAAAAAGGATAAGGGGTTGGACCTCGGGGCAGAGCTTTACATAATAATGGCTGGATGAATGAATGTTTTCCCAATACAGATCATGTCTAACGGTCAAATTCCCCTGGGACCTCTTTTGGGAAACCAAAACATACAAGCTATAAAGAGGTCTATTGACACCATCTAATAATTGACTGGAGCTCTTCTAAGCATTGAATGGTTCTTTTTTTTTTCTCTCCATTCATAACAGATATGAGCTGATTACTGAATGTTGGAACGAAGACCCTTACGTTCGTCCCAGTTTCTACCGTTTGATCGAAAAAATGGAGGCGATAATGGAAAGGGATGCACCATATTTGAATGTAAACAAACACAGTGAATATCATCCGTATTACAACGTGCCACCTGAAGCTAGTGCTGATTAATATGGAGAAGAAGGAGCATCCCCAATAATCGGACAGTTTAAGACGGAACAAGTATAAACAGCTAAATGCATGTAATGGACGTAGAAACTAAGAAAAGAAAATACTGAAAGAATTAGAACTAACAAAAAAGGAGCTTTAATTATAACAAATAATGTGTAACAGTAAGGCCATCTAGATCTAATCAGGATCATCCAGGCATGTAAACCTCTCTTATAGTATGTTTAGATTTTTACTAGGCTATTTATAGATTAATATTTCACGACAATAAAAAGCGGGACTGAGTGGGATTCCCAGCAATCAGCGGATGCGATCAAAGAAGTATAAAGCGATTAAAGTTTTAACTGAACGACGAGCCTTAAAAGTTAGGCACTATCTGAGAAGATCAACCGCCATGTTGGATTGCACCGAAGTTTATTTTAGAGCACAGCGAATTTTTCGTAAACGATTGGCGTAATGTCTTACCCGACTTACCCAGATCTTTCACCGACGATAATGGTTGTTCATTTAATGCAAGAGTTTGATATCTGGTTGCTAAAATGTTCGCTGAAAACTTTTGGGCTGAAATGAAAGTTGTAAAGCAACCACAGATTTATCATTTTAAAACCATTTAGTTTCTCTACACGGGCTCAAGATTTGAAATGAAAACAAACTTTTTTTACGTTTTTTAAAAGACAGTTCCTTCTTAAAATACAAACCCGCGCTAGCTCTGGCCTCTGGATACGATCGTTCCAAGAAAAAAAAAACGTACCTTCAAAAAGAGTAAAGAGAAAGAAAGAGCCTTAAAAAAGGGAAAGGGCTTTAAAGAAAGAGATTTAAAACATTGAGTTTGGTAATTTAGGATACAAGAAAATGCTCTGATGATAGCGCCAGCGATAGTTTAACTTATAAACGAAGGGTTTAAATAAGAATCAACAGACTACATGTACATCTAGTATTCAACTATTATTATGATGCTTTGCAAAAGCCTTATGATAATGTCTCTGCCAAATGAGTATGAGATATATAGACTGAAATACCTGTAACGCTATCAGTATGATTAAAATAACATTGTTCCGCACTTCACCTGCTTCATAGAGTAACTTTGGCATTTCATATTGTAATCAGGTTTATTATTATACATACTGAGAAATACTCACCAAAAAGCTATGTCGTAAATTTTCGTACACAAATTAGTTCTAGCCAATCAGAGGAGCGGACGATGGTTTTCACACGTGAAAAAAATTATACGATCCAATCAGAAGCCACAGATGTGTGTGAAATTCGCGCCAAAATCCCCGCCTTTTATTGCAGCTCGCAGCGCCGCTTCGCACACATTCAACTCAAAGAGTTTTTCTCGCTAAAAAAGTGAAAAACACTTCGGAAATGGAGTGGAATAGTTTCGTTTGTTTCACTGTCGATAAAGAAAACGGTAGAGGGCCGGCGAAACAACAGTGGAAAGGGATAAACAGAACGAGACGTAAGCTTTTGTTGTGCTTTTTGTCGGAGCTACTTTGCCTTTCATTTAAGCTTAAGCTTATATAATTTGAAACCGGCCATTTTACTTAAATTCACTCATTTTCAATTGTGCATTAAAACAAACAGTTAAGATTACTTATAGTTCTTGGATTACCTCTTATCATCACCGTCATTTATGTTTTAAACAAACGTTTTTACTAAAAAGGTGATACTTCGTTTTCGTTGTCATTTTGCAGTAAGTGTATAGCGGCAAATTTTAGCATTTTTGAAAGATTTAAAATAAAAAGGCCGCCAAAATAATGAATGTCAGTATGTATATAATAAACACCATACCACATGGAAAGTGCTTTGTACGGTATTTACGCAGGAGTTGTTTTCGTATCAGAAATCTTACTCGTTCGCTGCGCTCACTCGTTCGATTTCTGATACGTCAACAACTCGTGCGTAAAAACCGTACGCCAGCACTTTCCATGAAGTATTCTCTATGAGTGGTTTGACCAATGAATGACTGCATGACCTGATTAATCAATGACGTCGCGGTATTCGTCTTTTTCTGTCAGTTAAGCCGTCGTGCCCTTGGGTCAATCAAAGATCAAAACGTCCTTTGTCGGCAAATTGCAAGTTACAATAACGAAGGATTCGATACATCCTTGCTATTTTCTCCACGTAGTCCAACTAATTAAAACAAAAAACGCCTCAGACGTTTGACTGCGGTGGCCAGAGGGTACAAACGTGTACGCATAAGTGACGTGATTCATGGGCACCCAACGAAAATAAAGTTCAAAACCACTTAGACAATTAGCATTGTTAAACGTATTTTAGTATTTAAACAGTAGATAAATGCATATTTTTACCCCTTAAACATTTTTCCTCTGTTCAGATTTCCTAGAAGAAAGTCTAGTGATCCGAAAATTATAGAGATCAAAACTTACCTTTTCGAAAATTTCAGCCACAAAAAAGGCTCCCGAAAATGCTGGGTGATCTTTTTAGGGTAAAAATCCGTAAAAAATGGGCAATTATACCATTTTTTGGATGTTCGAAACTCCTAGGAGAGGCAGGCAAGCAAGAAATTTTACAACAAACGTTCCGAAAATTCTAGATCTCAAATCGTCTTCCGAAGAGATATTTTCCGAAAATTGACGTTGGGTGCCCCTGGTGATTTTATTGGTTGAGCACCAATCTCGCATCCATAGATCCCTATTGGTCATGAGTTAAGTGTCGGGTCGCGTTTTTGGTGCTGACCAGGGAGAAAACGGGCTCTTGAGACGAGATTGACTGATTACAAAAGCCGCAAACAATCCAACAAACCAATTACAGCTGTAATTACAAAGGGAAACAATCAACTGGTGCCATGAAAGCGAAAAAGAGTGACGTTTGGGTGTAAGACATGTTTGAGGCAATTTGTAAGCGCAGTAATGTAAATTCAAGCATACAGTCATTGTGCATGTGACACTATCCTAGATACCAAAGGTCTTTCCGCTCATCGGCGGCTATGAAGTGCTGGTAGGTGAGAGATTACTATTTTTTTCACGCCGCTTCGGGGCTCGCTTTCGCGGGTTTCAAAGAGAAAAAAGCCTCTGGCACCCTTTTTAGTGAAAGACTCGTGTCCAAACAAACGTTTTGCAAAGGCTTTTCTGGATTAATGGTTGGAAGAAGGCTTTACACACGCCAACTACATTTGCCTCTCTAAACTATTTGGTAATTTTCCGCTATCATCTTCTCAGCCCTTTCCCTGTCAACGCACTTTTGAACAAAAATTATCTGTCCTATGGTGTTGCAGAAACTGTAATAAGAGACATTTGGAGTCAAGGAGGAGGACCACGAGGATAAGATTTAACTAATAGTGATACCTTATTAAAAATAAATAAAGACCAGAATATGAGGATATACCTCTTTTTAAGGTGGCTCGACTGGATTTTTTAGGGAGTATACCGCCCCTTTTTGAGCGTTTACCGCGTCAGCATTAACAAAGATGACGCAAAAAGGTTAACACGGCTGCACTGTATAAAGATGAAAATTTGTTATGAACCATGTTTTATTGACGTTAGATTTACCATGGCAACATAATGACGCCATTATGTTTTTTACTTGCCTTTGTATTTCTCGGTAATAGGAGTTTTATTCAGAAATCGCTGAAGGGGAAAAAACAGTGAATAAACATGCTATCGACATAATTAGCTGATATCTACAAAAAATGATGAGGTCTGGAATGCTGTTTCATCTCATAGTGGTTTGATTCCATCTGAAACTTCGTAACGAAAAAAGAGGGTGATTGCGCTGGCCGATTGCGAGAAAGGGAAATTTGATTAGCCTACGTTCGGCTGCTTTCTTTACCATTTCTGTAAAACATGTAATTTGGTCCACGCCTACAAATTTCACGGTTATTTAAAAACCGCTCGATAATTTTTTTAAAAAAACTTGACAATCCCGAGATTAAGCATCAATGTACGTCTCTTCTTGCTTTCAAGGACATTGAAAAGACGGAAGGTAATTAAAAGGGACTTTAGATATCACAAATTTCCCCCAGATTTTGTGTTTATAAGTGAGCATCCTCATTATTCCCTGGCATTGTTTTCAAGTTTCATATGGTAGGGCGATGAACAGACAGAATTGCGATACTCACGTTGACGTCACCTATTGAAGATATCAATGTCCAACCAGAAGCGCATTGGTTCTTGAAACAAAAGATTGTTTTGTTTCACTGGTTACACATTTGAATAGCAAAAACAACGTTTTTAATTGTAAACATTGATGTCTCCCATATACACAAGAAAATGAAAATCCTTTAACTTTTAAACACATTTAAATAAAGAGGTGTGTGGAAAAAAATTCCCAAATGACTTTTGATAACTTTTTTGCTTACTTTTCAAATTGCCGCTTTGAATTTGTAAAAGTAAAGTTTAATGTCACTAATTAAGTTCTTATTCCACAGAAATGGTCTGAATCTCATTGTTGTGAAGTTGAACAAATTACAGGATTATATATCTCTGATGACGTCTTAAATTAGGTATCTTCGATCTTTTGGATTGTGTCATGGAATATTTTGTGTTGCGCCCAGTATAACCACTTTGACAAGTTTTAGGCTATTTTTGAATCCCTGTCACTGCAGCTTGCGTGAGATGGTTTCCTGGTTGTTGAAAATTTGTCTGAGGACTTCATTCAAAAGCTTCATTCACGTACTGCAGTGAGCGAAGAAACTAGTGATTCAGTGGTGGTTATAAGATTATAACGGATATCAATAAACCAGTAAGCAAGCGCAAGCTTAACAACAGATTACAGAGCTCTGTCTCACTCTTTTGGTTGGCATATCTTCCCTATTAGGACTTGTGAATTTAGTCCTAGCGATCAAGCAGTACGATAGTGTAGAGGGGAGGGGGCGAG